TCATCTTAGCAATCACAAAGGGAATAGACTAACATCTAAATTTTTCGATTACATAGAGCTCTCAGGCAAAGAATATGAACCTGATCAGTATCTGCATCTTCGGCTTGTTTGATAAAGATATTGCCCTCTGCAGTAACATACTGTATACATATTTTCGGAAAAAAGTTATGTCACGTAACAATTAGAAAAGAGATTTGAAAACAAATAGGTTATAACCCTTGTGGAATAAAACAAAAACCTTCTTGAATATGTCTGCAACAAGTGCCAACCCTTGTGGAATTGAACGATAAAGCCTGAACATCCTCGAGAGATCATCCATCTGAAAGCATCCGTCATAGAGAGAGTTTAAGATGATAAATTGTTCAAGAATTAAAGAAAAAAAAACACAAACGAAAGTCGCTTACCTTGTTATCTCTTAGCAATGCGAGGCACCCTGAGTGCTCATTTTCTATAAGCTGTTTTGCAAACACTACCAACAATTCATTTTGTACTATCTGCATTCAGAGATAACAATAATCAGTGAGTGTTTCACATATCCCTCTAACCAGATCAAAATACTGACATAAATCATATCTCTAGCTAATAAGTACGCAAAATTATGATTAAAATTCCAATAATTTCATATTTCAAGCTAACCTCAATTACTTTAGGCTCAGTCTTTGAATGAAGGTAGTGAGTAGCTCTTTCCCTCTCTTTTTTCAGACACTCTTCAGACTACAAAATATAGAGTAAGCGGCATTAATGTATATACACGCTTTCTTGAAATCGAATGAAAACAGAGTCCCAAAGTATATGATAATATATATCTGGATACATGTTACCTTTAGCATGTATTCAGGGCAAGAATCATCCTGGATCCAGCTTGACGCCTTGCGAGAATAGTAAGCTAAAGTATCTTGAAGCATAAAAGTTTCAAAATCCTCTTCATAATTTTTCATTTTCCCATTCACATTCTCAACATAGACAGCTAATGCATTTTTCAATATTTCCCTATCAATCTGTTCGCCCTCGCGGTCTCTATGAATCTGACAATAAAACATTTGTGTTACATGGAACCAGCTGAATCAGGCAGAATTACTCATTACAGATTCTATACTTACGAGTGCTAGCATAGCATCTTTGGCCTTGGACCGCAACTCACAGTAAACCTGAAGTAGAGTAAATAATTGCTTTGTGAGGCAATGCAAAACAAAGAAAAAGTAGAAGAATACATGAAAATGACATATACCAGGTCGCGGAAGCAACTCATGCCAACTTCGTTGAGTGGTGGAAGGGATCTCCGTGCAATGAAGTAACGGTCAATATAGAAGAAGATGCGGCATAACCATCTAACCATAACTTTATGATTAGACCACCTCTGAGCAAGCTCTTTCAACATATACTCATCATGCTTCTCATTTAAAGATACTAACACCTAACCACACATCAAATATATCAAAAACTCTCTGCTCAAGTTATANCCCCCCCCCCCCCCAAAAAAAAAGGAGAAGTCATTTAATAAATACCACAAGATATACTCACCGTTTGCTTAGCGTAATCTTCGAATATTTGACGAAATCTATCGTAAAGGTGCTGCGAGTAATCATGAGGAGGTTTCTGGACACACATATTGTAGATAATGGTGTAAAGAGAGATGATTTGATCAGCTTGAAATGTTGGCTCAGGCTCTCCATGTAGAATGTTTTGCAGTTTGGTCACACAAGTAAGTATACAAGACCATTCTTCCTCTAACTTTGTAATCTTGCGCTCTTCCAACTCAATAATCTTTCGCTTCATTTTCAAGATAAACCCTAGCTAGCTCTTTCAAGATCACCAAAATTCTACAATAAAACTAGTAACATACCATTTTTTTTAAGTAATCAAGAATTGCGAAAGCACAGAGAAGCCAACGCAACCCTAATCTGATCAAAATCGCCTACACAGATAACAGAGGCTGAAGAAATGATACAAAAAACGTAAATGAGTGATTGTGCTAGCTATCTTTAAACCCTAAACCGTTACCTAACCCCAAATATCTGAACAGTTTCGTATCCGGTTTGGTTTGGTTTTTTGGTTAAGGTCTATAATTAACAGTATTCTTCCATAGCAAAAAAAAAAAAACAATAATTTATTTGAACTTTAGGAGGGAGAATCGAATTGAAATTTAAACTCATACAGTTCGGTTTTGGCAAAAAAAAAAAAAAATTATGCTTAATTTAAAAAAAAAAAGAACGTAATAACGAAGTCGAAAATCGGAAATTTTTTTGGTATTGGTTTGGTTTGAAATGAGATGGAGAAAACTGAAGTATATTTCAGTTTGGTTTTCAACTAATATATTGCTAGTTTGGATTATCATATTAGAAGAACGACTAGTCTTCTTTAATCATAACGTTTAGAAAGCAATAATTTCACCTTAATATACCGATTAAATTCACCTTAATGATACGCTTTGCTTCTTATTGGTATATGATCATATGATATGATTCATATCCATGTAATGCAAAACACTCTTGAACATTATGACCGATCAAGCTTTCATTTTAAAATGTTACAGACAAAATTATACAACTAAGCAAACTAAGAGCATCTCCAATCTAAACTCTATAACCAAAATCTTGCAGTTAGCTTTAACCGGTCTTTGCTCTATAGCATTTTTTTTGTTTAACCCCTTTCGCTCTATATATTGATTTTGATTTTTGACTAAGCCAAGTACTTTAAAATGTTAGGTTTTTCGTAATCCCTCTCCAAATAATCTCTGCTGATCAAATCCTCAATCCGTTTCTTTATCATCTTAATGTCAGGCTGCAAAAAGAAAACAAAACATGAAATGTCCTTCTTAATCTTTTGATGTTTCTTGTAATTCTTATGTCCATCGAGTTTTGTATATTTTACCTTGAACATTCGGCTGAGATGCTCAACACACTCAGATAGTAACTGTTGATGGCCCAACACTTTTCTGCTCTTCATGATCCTCACAACCGCTGCATCAATCGCATAGCGTCGATCTCTATCAACATCCTCAACTACTTTCTTCCTCTCATTCATTGGAGGAAGAGAGACCTGTTTTCCCAATTTCACAACGAATCATCATTAGTCTTTGTTTATATAATCCGAGAGACATGAAAACAACACAAGGATGCTCTTACTCATATATTTAATTACCTTAATTCTCCTCATTCTATCGGTGAACTTGGAGTTGAATTTGAAAACATCGGTTCGTGAGATGCTTTTTGAGTTTGGTTCCTTATTAAGAATCTTGTACTTTGCGCATGACAGTGAATGAAGCACACTCACAAGATCTTCATGGCTAAGGTTAAGTTGTTCCAACATCTCATTGTAGCTTAATCTTTCCGTCTTGTTGAAAAGCAAAAGCACTGCAGCCTGGAAAACAAATAAAAATTAAGTGGTGACAGTCAAAATCAGGTCATCAATATATATGTCACTAAATCACGAGAAGACAAACCAAGAACAAAAAGATCCTGTACCTGGTAGGTAGAAAAGATTAACTCGACTGGTTTTCGATCGAAATTTCCAATAATGTGACAAGTTCCCAGAGAATAAATCCATTGAAGTCTCCTATGTTTGGTTTTCGTTTCATAAAATGCCTTGAAAACTTCAACACACTTGGCCTGAAAGATAAAGAAAATCAACTTAGTATAGATACTATATCACCTGGAGGTGAGAAAATCTTTTCTTCTACGTTCCAAGACCTCAAAACTAAAGATTTACCATTTCACTGGGTAGATTGAGGTCACATGTTCTGTAACTTGGCCAAAAACCTGTGGTAAGAACAGTGACGGTCAAATCAATCCCTGGGTTTGCGGTCATGTTAGTGGCTAGATACTCCTCGAAGCTGTTCTGACTTGCCAATGACATATCAGTCACCTATATGAAACAGAGTAAATGTACAAAAGATTAAAGGATTCTTATTTACCACTAAACAAAGCTTTTTTAAGCAAGAAAATAATTCATCTAACTAACCATGCCCTCCATCTTGGAAGTAAAAACCCAACCGAATTGTTCTTTGAGCTTTGTAACTATACTTCTTTCATGATCGTCATTACGACATCGATCAAATAAGAGCCTACGGGCTAGCTTCTTCCTGCAAAACAAACGTATTTAGAAAAGTATGGATCTTGTTAATCCGAGTTAAGAGAAACAAATATTAGAGGCAGAGATGTACCTATAAAACTCGGCAAAAAGATCTTTTTCACTTGAATAAACAAGGAACTTAACTACATTCTCAAGCGTAGCTTCAATAGCTTCATCACTCAGCTTCTCAGTTCCTCCCTTCTTGAGGAGATTATCGCACAACGTTGCAAGTAATTCTGCATTGGAACTTCCAGCCACTTTTTTGTTACAGAAGATTTCAAAAGCCTCTTGCAATGCCTACACAATGCATTCAAAGAAATTAAGGTCATTAAAAGATAAAAATATTGTGGAAGAAGATTGACAGTTGAACACACTCAAACCTTATGGAAGAGGATACGGTCCTGAAAACACTCAGTGACATAGACCATGTATTTATTGTGTAGCTCAATTACAATTCTGATAAGCACCAGAAGCCTTGCTTCTTGTTCCTGCACGCCATCAGAATGAAAAAAAAAATCATCTTAGCAATCACAAAGGGAAAAGACTAACATCTAAATTTTACGATTACATAGAGCTCTCAGGGGAAAATGAGCAAAGAATATGAACCTGATTAGTATCTGCATCTTCGGCTTGTTTGATAAGGATATTGCCCTCTGCAGTAACATACTGTATACATATTTTCGGACAAAAGTTAATGTCACGTAACAATTAGAAAAGAGATTTGAAAACAAACAGGAAGCGAGGTATTAGTATCCCATTAATTGTAAGGAAAATGAATGAAATGAATAAAACAAAAAACCTTCTTGAATATGTCTGCAACAAGTGCCAACCCTTGCGGAATTGTACGATAAAGCCTGTACATCCTCGAGAGATCATCTATCTGAAAGAGAGAGTTTAAGATGATAAATTGTTCAAGAATTAAAGAAAAAAAAACACAAACGAAAGTCGCTTACCTTGTTATCTCTTAGCAATGCGAGGCACCCTGAGTGCTCATTTTCTATAAGCTGTTTTGCAAACACTACCAACAATTCATTTTGTACTATCTGCATTCAGAGATAACAATAATCAGTGAGTGTTTCACATATCCCTCTAACCAGATCAAAATACTGACATAAATCATATCTCTAGCTAATAAGTACGCAAAATTATGATTAAAATTCCAATAATTTCATATTTCAAGCTAACCTCAATTACTTTAGGCTCAGTCTTTGAATGAAGGTAGTGAGTAGCTCTTTCCCTCTCTTTTTTCAGACACTCTTCAGACTACAAAATATAGAGTAAGCGGCATTAATGTATATACACGCTTTCTTGAAATCGAATGAAAACAGAGTCCCAAAGTATATGATAATATATATCTGGATACATGTTACCTTTAGCATATTCTAACAAGCATATATCTCGTCAAAACGTGAATAATTCCAATCAGCATACAGAATGTATCATAACCAACCTCGACTAGTTTCGGCTCATGAAGGTAGTGAGTAACTCTTTCCCTCTCCTTTTTGAGACACTCCTCTGCCTTTAGCATGTATTCAGGGCAAGAATAATCATGGATCCAGCTTGACGCCTTGCGAGAATAGTAAGCTGCGGTATCTTGAAGCATGAAGGTTTCAAAATCCTCTTCATATTGTTCCATTTTTCCTATTCCATGCTCAACAAAGATATCTAATACGTTTCTCAATAGTGTCCTATCAATCCGTTCACCCTCGCGTTCTTTATGAATCTGACAATACCAAAATTTGTGTTAAAAGAAACCGGAATTGTGTTATTCCTCAATTAATAATTGCATTACTCACAAGTGCTAATACAACATCTTTGGCCTTGGACCGCATCTCACGATAAACCTGAAGTAAATCATTGCAATGAAAATTACAAAAATAGTACTTTTGAGGCAATGCAAAAAACTAAGAGCTACATGACATATACCAGGTCGCGGAAGTAACTCATGCCAACTTCCTTCAGTGATGGAAGGGATCTCCGTGCAACGTGGAAACGGTCAATATAGTAGAAGAAGCGAGACAAGCATCTAACCATAACTTTATGGTTATCCCACCGCTGAACCAGCTCCCTCAGCATATATACATGATGCTTTTTCCTTAAAGACGGCAACACCTAACCCCCACACACACATACAAACTATTAAGAAAACAAAAAAAATCAACACTTGAATAAAGAGAGCACCACAAAAAAAAAAACACTCACCGTTTGCTTAGCATAATCTTCGATTACTTGACGATACCTATCATAAAGCTGCTCTGCGTAATCATAAGGAGGTTTCTGGACGCACATATGGTAGACAGTCGTGTAAAGATGCATATAGTGATAAGAGTCAAATCCTGGCTCATCCTCGCCTTCTAGAATCTTTATCAGCTTGGTAACACCAGTAAGCATGTAAGACCATCCTTTATCCAACTCAATTATCTTGATATATCCTTCTTGCAAATCGATAATCTTGCTCCTCATAAGTATTTGTAGATAACCCCTCTCTATAACCAAGTTCTACAATAAAAGTAACAGACGAGAAAATTTAGCTCTTGAGAGGTTATTATTACATGTGCATTATCGATATTCAACAAAAGCTAATCTTATCAATATTTATATATAACAAGCACCACAAGATCGATGTTAAAAATTCACCAATAGAGAAAGAAGCACAAATTCTGCTTTGAAAGTAATCAGGAACACAGCAGAGAGAGAGGCAACGTAATATGGAAACACAAGTTAAAGACTGTCCACGTGAGATTTTTATATGTAACAGAAATATTCCTTTTTAATAAAGGTTTTGGCTTTGTGTACTATTTTCTTATAAACTTTTCCGTTGAAAAAAAATCCCTTTAGGAAAAGGAAAGTGGAATATACGGAGAACTACCATTAAAAAAACTAATTGGAAATATTAAATTTTTTACTTAGTTCGGAAAGCTCTATCCCGATCGAAGAAGAGTTTCGCGGAGTATGGTTTGAGGTTATCTCGGGATGTTTGGGTCTACGCCGGAAAATGCAAGAGAGAAAGCATTTGCATCTCTTGAAATCGCCGTTATGTTTGATTTTTTCGGTGAGGTAGACTTGAATGTTTGTTTTGAAAAGGAATCACACATTCTACATATGATCCGATTTGGTTTATCTCATTTTTGTATCGCCTTTTTACTAACGAAATTGTTGTACCTGAATTAAGCACCGACATAGTAATTTCGTAGAAAAACAACAATCAATAAATATATATTCTTTACCACTGGAAAGTGGAAACATTTTATTGTTTTTCCTTAATTTGATCAATTGGGCACAGTGGAAGTGAAATTGAAGTTGGCACAGTTAGTACGACGGCCCAATAACGTGGAACTAAACCCAAATCTGTTACTCGCCAAATCAAATTCGATCAAATTATCTTCCAACTGATACCCTCCGACTACCACAGAGGTTCTCGCGTTGACTCCCCCGTCAACGAAACCCAAACAGATGACGTCATCCCTGACGCTCACCATCGAGTTCGCTCCAAAAACCCTCCAAACGACGTCGTTGCTCTGAAGCACGAGCTGAATCTCCGGCACGGCGTATCCAACGCGCGTGACGCCGACGTTCGCGGTGCTGAAACACGCGCCGAACGGAGCCACCGACGAAACTCGACTGATGTTCCTCGCCGTCGCTGCTCTTACGAACGCCGACGTGAACGCGTTGAAGATCGACGTCTCCATCTCCGTGTACGGATTCACCGTGCTGATTTTGGTCCCTCCGTATCCGGTGGCACCGTTGATCTTCAAAATCGCTTTGTTGATCGGAACGGATTTATCGGCGATTTTGATGTCCGTCACGCCGATGAAATACTCGGAGGATCTCTCGCCTTGTACATACGCAGAAGCAGTACTCACCGGATTTATGAGCAACGGTGTGGTTGTTAGATCTGAGATTTGAATACCGGGGAGGAACTTGTAAGTTACGTCACCGAAGAAGGCGACGCCTCTTCCGGAAGTGAGACAGACGGCGAATTTTTTCCGATTGAAGCTAAACGCGGTGGCGAATTGCGACGGCAGTCCGATGTTGTGGCGTCCCATTCCGGCCATACCGACGGTTCCACTAGCGAGTCTTTCAAGCAGATTCGTTGACCCGCAAACGAAAATCAAATTGGGGATTTTCACGACCCGACCCGGATTAGACCCGTTAATTGACTGAATCGACACAACATCTACAGCAATTTCGCCGGAAGTTATTATGGTTCCGGTGACGGTGTTGTCTGGAAATGTGTGGCAAGTGTTGTTGTTACAGCCAGGTCTCGGAGGAGAGAAGCATTGCTCGCAGTCACGGGGGCCGGCGCGTGAGCAAACGGCGGAGTTGCAGCGAGCGGATTTGTAAGTGGTGGAGACGTAGTTTTTTTCGCAGTCGACCCAGAGATCTCGACCACCGAGGTCGAAGACGACGGAGGCGGCGACAAGTGGGGTTCGTTGGTTGATGACGGTTGTGTATTGGAGGGTAGATTTGTCTTTTGTGACTGGGAGAATGAGAGCTTTTGGTTGGAATGATGATAGAGCAAATGAGATTGATGAAGAGAGTGAGAAGATGAAGAGAAGGAGAACGGAGAAGATGATCGGAGTCGGAAAAGATGTCATTAGAGATGGTGATGAATGGAGGAAGAAGAGAG